CTTTGGACTAATCTTTTCTTTCCTTGTATCTTGTTCTCTTCATTCTCCCTTGCTCCCAAAGGGGTGAGACCAGTGGAGTATCTTAGATGGCTGCTCACAGGCTTTTAAGACCCCAGACACTACTCATCAAAGGTCTTCCTCTTTTTTGCTGACCTTCTTACTTTACCACCCAGGACGTCCTTCTCAAAACAATTCAAAGCAAATAGATCAAACACAGCTTAGCTCCACTACTTCATGATCTGGCACTCACATCTGGATTTCCTTCTTATAGTTTTAGATCTCCCAAATTTTGCTCGTTCTAGACAGCAGGATTAAATCTTAACTGACTGAACCAGCAGCACAACAGCCAGGGAACGTAGGTCATGAGGATAATGAAATCTGAGCCGTCCACAGAGCCCACGGGTGCCAGGACTGCATTAGCCGCTCCTCTGGGAATCCTCTCACCTGCTCCACGAGGGAGATGCTCTTCTCCCCATATCACAGAGAGGAACTCACAGAAAGATCTGGTAGGCTGCCCGGAGCTCCAAAGAGGAGATGTGGCAGAGCCAGGATCCAGAACTCGGCAATCTGGCTCCTATGTCTGGGCTCGGAGAAACACCGTGGCTTCCTGGCACAGCAGCAGAATCCTGAACACGAGAAGAACTGGAGGGACTGACCAGCCTGCACCCACTGGTCAGAAACTGCCAGGCTGTCGGTGAGGACAGGCCCAGAGTAATGGTTAGCACTCAATAAGGATTTGCTCTGTGAGTGAATCAAGTCTCTGGACATTGTCATATGGCCCACTCGGCTGTGCAGAGTGGCCCCGATGTCTGAGAAACTCTCCGCCACATGGAGCCACAGTCAGCTACCCCAAACCCTGGCTCCACTGGACAGCACTTGCTACAGTGACCTGGAGCACGTCCACCCCTCTCCCAGACAATGCCCCTCCGTGTTCTGTGACTAAAAGGACCCCCAAGCACTCAGTCTTTGTTTCAACTCCACAGAGCAAGAGCCAGCGATCTTTTTATTGTTAAGGGCCAGAGAGTAAATATTTTAAGCTTTCAGGTCACAGAAAGTCTCCACTGCATATTCTTCATTTTACTTCCTTACAGCCCTTAAAAAAAAAAAAAAAAAAATGGGAAAACCACGCTCAGCACGCTGGCAGGACAAACAGGCTGGCAGGACGGATCTGGTCCACGGCTGTACTGTGCTGACTCCTCTGTGGGCAAGAGCTGATGCCTACAAACAATTAAAAAATCATAGCATTCTGAGGGTTTCAATAATCAAAAATAAGGGGTGGGGGGACTGGCTAACCAGTATTGCCAAATTTACACACATTCCTTCTTAGAAAAGAGGTTTCAGAGAATGTGTATTTTCGCCACAGTAAAACAACAAAACGGTTTCGAAGTTCTTCAGAACGTGACGCTGACGCTGCTCCCCCTCTTCCTTCTGGGCCCGTCTCAAGAAAGTCAGCAGTGAGGGCGATGGAACGGAACCTGGACTTCTTCTCTCCACTCTCCCAGATCTGAGTGAACGGAGCCCAGCACGTCTGACTCAATTCTGACTGTAATGTCTCGGAGGTCCCTAAAGGTTCTCAACGGACGCCGAGAGTTTTCCAGTTGTAGCTCTGCAATTTCACGCGAGGTTGAAATCCAGATGAACTTTTAACCAGAAATGCCAACCATAACAATGGTGCAATTTGTAAGGAAGGTTCCTGCGCAGCCTTACAGCCCAGATGCACGTGACGCCTGAGATCTGAGCTTCGCGACGGTCCACGGTGGCGCCTTCTTGCTTTGCCTCTCCAACGTGGACTCAACAAAGACAGGTACCAGCCCTGGGTGAGGGATCTGCCGGCTCAGTTATCCCCCAATCTACAGGACGGGATACTGATGAAGGTTTTGGGTTTATGTCAGGACCCACGCAGAGATCCTGGCCTCAGCAACTTGATCCCCTCCCCCAGGCGCACCCCACCCACACAGTGGAGCAGCGTGTGCGTGCTCTTTAAAATGGCGAGCAACTCCACGCGTTTCTTACTCTCTTTCTTGGCTATAATCCGTTACGAAAACAGGGCTGTGGAAGACAAGAGTCGATGTTAGAACATCAGTGTTACCCCTGAGATCAGGGTCACATCCTGAAAGAGTTGTGATCACCTGAGGCAAAAATACTTCCACGGACCTTGAGTCACCAAGAGCGGACCGCATCACAGTTCTTTTGTAACCAGTGACCAAACCAGTCACTGTTGAGTCAACTCCAACTAATGACCACTCCGTTGCATCAGAGTAGAGCTTTCAATGGGCAAACTGTTAGAAGTAGATTGTCAGGTCTTCTGAGGTGCCTCTGGGTAGACTCGAGCCTCCAACCTTTCAGTTAGCAGCTGAGCTCGTTAACTGTTTGTACCACCCAGGGACTCCATTATTTTTGTTACACATGAGTTTGTCAGGCACAGAGGAATTCTGATAACGAGACAAGGACTCCCTCCACTCCTCTCTGAGGTTCTCCAGCAGGGCGTCCCCCCCTCCCTGTGAGAAGTACCTACCTCTCCTGGGGAGACATACGGGGCAAGAGAGCGTGCGCCAGGCCAGGGCAAAAAAGGCTAACAACCAATATGCAGACTCCTTCCCAAGACCGTCTTGGTTGGCTTAGGTTTCACTGTGTTTACAAGCATTTAATGTATGAATGCAGAAATGAATGTGAAACGTAAATTTATAGTTAATGAACATGATACACGAAAGAGACAACAACTTTCCACACACAACTTACTGGGGGGGGAGGGGATATGGATAAATTAATAGAGAAGTCACAGCATTACTTATACAGCTGAGCAAGGGCCCCAGACAGATAACGCAATGCAAAGAACAACCAACCAGCACACCGAGGTTCAACCAGAACGTCAGAAGTTAACTAGCAGACCTGGCACCTCCACCCTGGTGGGAGGAAAGGACACGGGGATGCCCGATCCACCTCCGACTGCTGTTTATGCAGTGGTACCCGGCTGTAACACTATGCCCACCTTCTAACTCTACTTTCTTTAAATACAGGTGCGTCTTAGTTTCCCGGTGCTGCTATAACAGAAATACCATAAGTGAGTGGCTTTAATTTAAAACAGGAATTCATTTTCTCACAGTTTAGGAGGCTAGAAGTCCGAACTCAGGGTGCCGGCTCTAGGGGAAGGCTTTCTCTCTCTGTCGGCTCTGCGGGAAGGTCCTTGTCTCTTCGGGTACTCGGTTCCTTGGCCATCTCCATGTGGCCTGTATCCTTCCCTCTGCCTGTGCTTCCCTCTCTGTGCCTAATCTGCTCTGTTTATATCTCAGAGGTGACTGGCTTAGGACACACCCTCCAGTCATATGGCCTCGTTAATAAAACAAGAAAGTCCTATTCACCTATGGGATTATATTCACAAGTATTAAAAAAATAAATAAACCCGTTGCCTTCCAGAAGATTCCAACTCAGAGTGAACGACACTACAGGACAGAGAAGAACTACCCCATAGGGTTTCCAAGGTTGTAAATCCTTATGGAAGCAGACAGCCACATCTTTTTCCCATGGAGAGGCTAGTGGGTTTGAACTGCTGACCTTTCAGTTAGCAGCCGGACACTTTAACCACTGTGCCACCAGGCTCCTTAGAGGTTAGGCTCTACAACACGTATTTTGGGGGAACACAATTCAATCCATACCACAGGTATTTGAAGGCATTTGTTTTATGGTGATTGTCCCCACCCAGTGCGTACAAGCTCCCCGACAGACAAAACTTGTTAGATGCTTTCTAAAAATTAGAATTAAATTCCAAAACGGTCCCCTCATTCCTCTGCTTGAGTGTGAAGATGGTGGGACTCCTGACAGCTTATTACGAGCCTGATTACTCTAATTTTTGCTGCAAGATAATTAGATAATTTAAAATCACTGGGTACACCAGCACCAGGGGCTCTGAAAGATGAAGTGAGACGCTGAGCACCTAAAGCTGTGATTCCAAACTCACATACAGGGTCACGGGCACCTCTGAGAACGTGGAGAGAGCCGGAGGCCCCGCCCTTAGAACAGTGCCCAAATGCACATGAGAGCCAAAAAGGCAAACTCACCGCCATACCGTCAGCTCTCACAGTGATCCCATGTGTTACACAGTGAAACCATAGGGTTTTCTTGGCTATAATCTTCATGGAAACAGATCGCCAGGCCTTTCTTCCATGGCACCTCTGGGTGGGTTTAAACTGCCAGTCTTTCAGTTAGTAGCCAAAGCAAACTAATTGTGCCACCAGGGACCTACGAATTCATGCATATAATCATTTCTCATCTGACTCCAGGAGATTTGCAGACCCCCCCGGAGACCACCCATGGACCAAAGGGTAAGAAACTGTGGTTCAGAATAAGTCTGTGGGGCCACTGATTGGATACTACTGTTTTCAAAGGTCAACCACCACAAAGGTCAGGTCTGAAGAGCCTGCCTCTACGTCATGTATGTTATCACAGTGTTTAACAAAGCAGGCTTCTTCAGGAAACTGCAAAAACAGGGAAGAATGTGTCCCCAGCAAGAATATACTTTTAAGTCCTAGCTGAGGAAAGAAATGTCTAAGTTTCAATTAACGCTAAGATGCCCTGAGCTTGGCGGAGAGGACTCAGCACTTGGGTCTGCGCCACAGTACTCCTGAGGCGCCTTTGCATTTCTGGCCGTTCTGCTTTACCCTTCTTACAAAAGGACTCTCAGTGGTTCAGGAGGCGCTGTTCTCAGCTGTGTGTAGGGTTAACTAATAATGCTGGGTCACAGGGCCCTGGAGGCCCCCGGAGCACTAGGCAAAGTCATGACAAGGGCTGGAGAGCCACACAGGTGGGGAGGGTCCTTGAGCATCATCGTGAGAGGAAGGACATGCTGCTCCAGCCCCCTCTGGCCTCTGCTGGGTTTTGGGGGGCTATGGGTGTGGTCTGGCACAGTGGTTAAGAGCTCGGCTGCTAACCAAAAGGTCGGCAGTTCGACTCCACCAGCTGCTCCTTGGAAACCCTATGGGGCAGCTCTACTCTGTCCTCCAGGGTCATGATGAGTCGGAATCGACTCAACAGCAACAGGTCTGGCCTCTTTTTCTGTTTGGTTTCTGAGTGTGGGGAAGGCATGTCCTGGCAACACTCAACCAGACGTCACCCAGATATATCATCAGTGGGAGAATCTCCCCACGGCACAGGGTCACCAGTGAACATTTAGTCTTTTCTACGGAGGGCGGGAGAGTGTCAGTGGTAGAGGGGTGTTCCTCCTCTGGAGGCCAACCAGATCTCTGGGGTAGCAGAGGGCTTTGGGTAAGTAGAAAAACCCCCAAGATTCTCACATCTGCCGCCCGTGCCCCACTCCTGAGGTGGGGCGCTGTCGGTATGTTTTAAACACTGGTGCAGACAGGAACTGTTACATATCTATTCCTTTTGGTGTGTTAGGTCGGAGACAGTGCGAGATCCATCAGCATAAGCTCACTCCATCCAAAAACAACATAAAAGGTGTTCGTGCGTTTCAAATAGCTGATCAAGACCTAGCTTTCTAAGGTGATCCTCTCTGAGCCTTTGAAAATACAAGCCAGGGTTTCACAGAACAAAGAAGAAATGTAAGACGGAGCATATCTACATGTGTCACAAGAATCTGATTTTTAAAAAATCCTTGTGCTGTTTTAAAATATATTTACAAACCTTCTCCTTTGCGCTCTATGCCCCCAGGACGGAGACTCTCTCCTTGTTCAGGATCAAGGCTGCCCCCCTTGGTGTCGACAACGCACCCTGAAAGAAGGAAAGCCGAGTGGGATTAATCCGAGCAGAACAATTTCTGGTATTTCCTGAAGCTGAAAGAGTGCCAGGCTTGGGCAAACAGGGCTTTGTTTTTAAAAGTAGCTAAGGATGCAAAGCCACTCAGTTAATACGGGTTGAGGAAAAATAAGGAGTGGTGTATTTCTTGGATCCATCAGCAATACAGGGATGGCACCTTTGAAGTCTATGCCACAATACTTGCCACATTGTGTTAAAGACATTACTGGGACAAAGAGGGCGAGGTGCAACGATCCCAAAGGAAGAAACACAAATGCATCTCCAAAAGCTGATCAAGACCCAGCTTCCTAAGGTGAGGCTTCCAGACCTTTTCAAAGAACAAATCTACACGTGCGCCGACAGTGATGACTTCCAAGGTCGCTGGAAATTCTACTGGAGCCCACTGCACACAAGGAAGGAAACACACTTTGCTGATAAGCCATCGTCTCAAATGAATGACCCAAGAGTGTATTCTGAGGCCCTTCCCACCAATGGATGAAAGATGTGGACAAACAGAGACGGACAGGAGACTCCCGCCTTCCTCTGCACAATAACCAAACCTTCATGCAACAGCAGGCCGGGCTCCCTGCGGCCAAGACTCTCCTCTCAGCCAACGTGTCTGTCCAGGGCTGTGGTTTCCAAACTTTGTGGTTTGAGGACACCATCGCACTCTTAAACATTACTGAAGACCCCAAGGAGCTAATTTTTCTTTTGTCATGCGGGTTATATCTATTACTGTAACAGAAATTAAAACCGAGAAATTTATAAAATATTTATTAGTTCATTTAAAAATAATTATGAACTAATCTCACGCTACCACAAATAACATATTTTTATGAAAAATAACGATATTTTCCAAAACTAGAAGAATTGTAGTTACCAGTGGCACTGTTCTCACGTTTTGGAGACGGTCTCTGATGGCGGCGGGCTGAGAGCAGACAGCCAGCTGGGTCCTCCTATCTGCATCTGCCTTCTGTTTTGATACACTGTGTCAACTGAAGTATAGGAAGAACATCTTTTTCAGATGATTGTGGACATTTTTCCTTGATGCTACATCAGAACTCCACAAAAGTTTTTTACAGCATAGGTACAATGTAAAATCTGAAGCTTTATCAATGAAAATTTTATATTGTTACATTAAAATCCATGAGGCTATCTTGCCCTTTGGATTTTTTTTTTACCCAAACATAATTTTGTAACATTACACATGGGTCATTTGGAAAATATTGGTTCACTGAGCTATGCAAAGTCTCCGAACAGTTACACACTTCACTATGTATACTATAAAAATTCACATTAGTTAATATACCACTGCCAGGAGCCCTGGTGGTGCAATGGTTAAGCACTTGGCTGCTAACCAAAGGTCTGCAGTTAGAACCCGCCCAGCGGTTCAGCAGTTCTGGGATCTGCTCCTGTAAGGATTACAGCCTAGGAAACCCTTTGGGGCACTTCTACTCTGTCTTATAGGGTTATTATGAATCGGAACTGACTCGCCAGCACACAACAACATACCACTGATGTCATTACCAAAAAACCAACTCATTGCCATCCAGTAGATTCTGACTCACAGCGACCCTGCAAGGATAGAGAAGAACTGCTCCGTAGGGTTTCCAAGGCTGTAATCTTTACGGAAGCAGACTGCCACATCTTTCTCCCGTGAAACAGCTGGTGGGTTAGAACCGCTGACCTTCTGGTTAGCAGCTGAGCGCTTTAACCACAGCGTCACCAGGGTTCCTTACTGATGTCATTAGAAAAGTTTTAAAATATTGAGACACTACCAAGATCATGGTGACCGATACAAGTTTTCCAAAATTCTAATTTTCACTTGAAAGTTCAAATTTTATCATTGATCGCTGGCAACAAATACTGCCAGCTATTTTCCTTGACGTGAGAGGCCCGCTTTGTTCACCTTTGAGAACATCTCTGCCGAAGCCCAAGTCTGAGTAAACACCACTGGCCTGTCAGCTCTTCCTTCAATGGTAAAAACAGCATCCCACAAATAAAGCGGCTACTTTAGCTGGTAACTCAACTGTCCACGTGCCCTTCCTGGAGAGAATCGTACTGCGTGGTGACGCACACTTCCCATTTCATCACACAGATGCTGAACAGATGAGTAGGTACTCAGGTCAAGATTTAATACAATTGATCATTTTATGGCTTCAACATGGGCATTCTTAAATGAACTTTGTGTGTGTGCCTTGCTTTTTCTCTGCACGCGTGTACCAGGGAAGAACACAGTGACTGCTGGTACAGTCTGCTGGCGTGGCCTTGGTTCGCGCTCAGGTGCCAGGAGCGCCACCCACCATTACTTCTGCACCACTAGGGTAAATGTCAACACTGTGAAAAGGCAAACAAGGTCTCAACGATGTTATGCCAGCAGTTCTGACCGCACAGACCGCCTGAAGGAGTCTCGGGGAATGCTGCTCTTTGAGAACCTCTGATGGAGCCCTTGGGCTTTGCTCTGATGGAGCCCTTGGGCTTTGCTCTGATGGAGGCAGGTGGTGAAGAACAGCAACAGGTCCACATGAGACCACAACACCAGTCCCCGGCCACCCCAGTCTAACGTTTACTTATTCCACTGTTTTCGTGTAACCCAAGAGCTGCTGCCAAAGGACTGCTTGCAAACGTTCCATAAGGCAGGACATTTGCATTTGACACTTTCAAACACTAAGTAAAAATGGCTAAGTCAGTTTCCTTTGAACAGCGGCTGCCCACCTTGCCCACACCAGCTACCGTGCAGGCTGGCATTGTGCTTGGAGGATTGTTGCTACCACCAAGGCAGACCAATCCCCTGTGCAGAGAAGCCATCCTGGCACCAGCTCAGCCCCCTGTCCCCTGTGCAGAGAAGCCAGTCTGTCACCAGCTCAGCCCCCTGTCCCCTGTGCAGAGAAGCCATTCTGGCACCAGCTCGGCCCCTTGTCCCCTGTGCAGAGAAGCCA